TTTGGTTAATTCTTACCTGAGGATATTTTGTCCATTGATTTTTAGAGCTAGTGGAAGAGGAGGGAGAGAGGTTGGGGGAGAAAGAGAGAGAGAAACACATTGATGTGGGAGACACACATGGATTGGGTGTGCCTCCCATGTGCACCCTGACCGTGACTAGGGATCAAACCTGCACCCCAAGTATGTGCCCTTGACTGGGAATCGAACCCAAGACTCTTCGGTGCAACAACTGACGCTCCAGCCACTGAGCCACACCAGCCAGGGCTCCAGCACTATTTCTTTCAAAGGTTGTCTTTTTCCCTATTGAATTTCTTTTGCATCTTTGTAAAAAATAAGCTGGATTTGGCCCTGGCCTGTTTGGCTGAGCAGTCAGAGCATTGGCCTGCAGACCAAAGAGTCACAGGTTCAATTCTGGTCAAGGGCTGTGCCTGGGTTGCGGCTTGGTCTCCCAGGGCTGTGCAGGAGGCAACCAATCCATGTGTCTCTCTCATATCGATGTTTTTTCCTCTCTCTCTCCTCCCACCTCCCACTGTATGTGAAAATAAATGGAAAAATATCTGTGGGTGAGGGTTAAAAAATAATCAGTTGGATTTGTTTGTTGTAATTCTAGAATCTGTTCCATTGATCTGTGTGTCTTCCTCTGCCAGTACCATACCAATGTTGACTATTGTACCTAAGTAATCTTAGCTTGGGTAGACTTCCTTCTTTTTCAAAATTGTCTTAACTATTCTTAGTCCTTTGCTTTTCCATATAAATTTTTTAGAACAAGTTTGTCTACAAAAACAAACTTTGCTAGCTTTTTATAGGAATATGTTAAATTTGTACATTAATTTAGGAAGGAATAATTGACCTTTTTACTGTGTTGAGACTTCCAATTCATGAATATGGTATTTTTCTCCATTTGATCATTTTCAGCATACAGATCCTATACATGTTTTGTTAAATTTATACCTAAGTATGTTGTTTTCTTTGGAGCTGTTGTAAATGGTCTTGTGTTTTTTGTTTTTGTTAATCACCTGAGAATATTTTTTCCATTGATTTTTAGAGAGATAGGGAGGGAGGAAGGAAGGAGAGAGAGAGAGAGACTGAAACATCAATGTGAGACAGACACATCAATTGGTTGCCTCCCACACACACCTCGACCAGGGTTGGGGATTTTACCTGCTACCCAGGTACGTGCCTTTGACTGGAATTGAACCTAATCCTTTAGTCTGCGGGCTGACGCTCTAACCACTGAGTCCAACTGGCTAGGGCAATAGTATTGTTTTTAATTTCATTTCCAGTTTGTTTTTGAGTATAAAGCTAGAATCCAGCAAATTACAACTCTTAAATGTCTCTTGAAGCTCTGGCATTTCTTTCAACTTTCTCCTACGTATGGCATTACTCGTTCTTTTAGATTTTAAGTACGTGTAGAAAGGATAGACTAGTTAGTCCGTTCTCCCACTTGATACCAGATGTAGAAGTAATCCCTTTTTTTTTTATAACATCTGATCATTATTGCCACTTGAAAACTTCAGGACTGGGAAGTAGTCTCTTCTTATATAAATAAGGGAGTTCATTTCAGTGTTAGATGGATGAACTGATTCTCATTGTTCATTTTGCTGTTGAGTCATGGTCATTAAAGACCTCCAAATTTTTAACGTGCCCTGCATTTTCTTGCCTGCCTTTTTCAGATTCAAGGAGTGAACCCACTACCTCAAAGTGTGCCCTCTTTCATCTTAGGTCAGGATTCTTTATTCTGTGCCCTTCCCTCAGACATACACACAATACAAGTAGTGTGACTTGTTTCTAATGACATAGCCTTCCAGAAGCCCAGACACCTGAAAGTGATGGGAGTGTAGAAGTAGAAAGGTGCTTGAGGAACTCTACCAGCTTGTGGGGGAAGAGTGGCTCGTCTAGGTGGTGGGAAGGGAATGACCAATCTCCCCTAAGTATTGGAACTCTCTGACATACTGTTTTAACTGAGTTTGAAGATCTTAAGATATTTCTACAAATGAAAAAATACTCAAAGGAGTTTTGATTTCTTAAAATCACGTAGTTAACAAATGGTCCAAGGATAATGGATGCAAGAATCCCAAATTGTGTTGGTAGTTAAAAATTTTGGAGCCATATTCCAGACCTAAACAATTTCTGTGGTGAGGTAGAGGATTAGAGCAAGCTCCTTGGATGCTTATTTAGCACTCCAAACTTTCAGAACTGATGATCTTTGCCTCTGTATTTTGAGCACCTTTTAATTAATGCATGTTTGGGCAACAGATGAATAAGTATACATAAAAACAACTCCAGTGCTAGGTAGAAGGATATACAATAAGCACAGTGAACAATGGGTTTTCAAATGGAAAAGAGAGCAGATAAGATCAATAAAGACTGGAGGATTAGAAAGCAATTACAACAACTGGTAGATAAGTTAGATTTAAAATTTTTATTATATATACTAGGTGCAGTATTCATATCTCATTTAATATGGTTGTTCACAACTATACAGCAGTTTGAGCAACTGCATTATTACACTACAGATGAAAAACCATTACATGCTGAATCAGTTTCTTTTAAAATTTCATTTGGAAAAAAAAAAATTTCATTTGGGGAGCATACAATTATAGGTACTCAATCTTTGTCAATTTTAAAACACAGTAACAATGCTTAAGAAGGATAAACATAACATAAAATTACATTTGAATTTGTAATTATTTCAATGCTATTTCAACCACTTATTTACCCTCTCTGTCTTGACATTCACATGAAAGAAAAGCATATCATTAATGATCAAATTCAAATCAAAGCAAAATGCTAGGCCTTAAATAGTGTAGTATTTTAAAAGTTTAATTAAAAACTAAAGACAAAAAGCTGTTAATTGATAAATAGCTTATTCAATTTTAATTTTGAAGTTGAATACTGACATTTAAAAAACCATGAAGCAAATAATATACCTTTAGAAATATTCAAGAATAATTTCTTTTCACTTTGTGTCTATAAAAATAAAATTGTCCTCAATACTCCTATATTCTTTTGCAAGTAAGGCCATTATTATATGGTAAGAAATTACTGAATCATAGGTTTAATATCAGTGGCACAAATCAAATGTAGAAGATGTAAGAAATTCATTGTTAGGTAAGGAATAAGTACAGTATAGTAACTAGCCATTCATAAGAGGTAGAATTCTTAATCACAGTTTTATAGAAAAGATGCAGTAGTTTATATCTGTATTGTTTTATTAGTTATAGTACTCCGCTTCTCATGAGGTTAACAGAAGGGCGGAAAGGGAGAGCTCTTCAGAGGCAATGACTTACTGGCCCTTGTTTTGCATGTTACAGGGACTATTCCTGGACATTTAAAGCACTTTCTTAGCTAATGAAGATAATTGATCATATGTGGCATTTATTTCATTTTTTAAAAGCTTCAGAGTAGGGAAATCTAAGTTTATAGTCTCCCAAGGGCATAAGGAGGAAAATCTCTTTTTGTACCACTCTGAGTGTAAATCATAAATGAAACCCATTCTCTCTGGATATCAATTATTGCTTAATTCCAGCAGTACTAACCTACAGAGGGATTCTGTATTCAAATTTAAAAGTTGATTGTTTCTCTTACTTGTCATAAACAATACTACAAATGGGTATAACCTAAAAATTCTATTCAATTTATGACGTAGTTAAATTCAATTCATGATGTAGCTAAATTACTAGTATTTGAGTAAGACTCCACAGACTGCAATAAGCTAAGATGGCACAGATTTTATATAGTTACTCACATATGGACTATTCAAACTTTCTGTGGGATTCTGTGGGTTTCCAATCTTCCTTGAATGCCAATGAAAGGATCAGAAAAGTAATTTTATGAAAGTTATAGTAAAAACTGTAATAAGTATGTATACCCAGTGCTAAACTACAGTAGGGCTTATATTTCATAAAATGTACCTAAATACTTAGATAATTCAAAACAGAATAAACACTTGTAAAACAAAACTCACAGCCAAGCGTAGTCTCTTCCAGTGAGCTGGAAATTATCTCATGATTTGTATTGGGGTTAGGTCATTGTGATGAGCCAATCAGATTACAGATACCTAAATTCTTTTAAAATTGATTATTCTTTTTTTTTTTTTTTTTTTTTACTAATTTTGAGAACTCAGAAAAGGAGATATTTATGTTAGGCCCAGATCTTTTTAGCAATATTTCCTTCACAATTGCTGGTAATGATGTGTCCAACTCAATAGTCATGTTAAAATTAACACTGTTGACAGCATAAAAACAAAATTACTTCTCACATTTAATTTTAAAATCCTATAACTTAATTAAGGATTAGACAGAATATGTCCTTAAGGAGATTGAGCAACCTTTAGCTATTGATTTCAAAGAGATAATTTGTCCTAATTTTAATAAGTATGACTTAACATTTTTAAGAATTATTACAATGTCAGCTTTTGGGAATATAAGTATATAAGGTGAATACTTTTTGCTAATATTTTAAATTGAAAAATATCTGGTTATAAAAGTTTCACATACTTTAGAGGAGAGATGCCTATGTAAAAACAAAAGCTGAGTGTCTTGTAAAGATGTATTTAATTCATGATTAGGAAAATTCTTGGATGACTTATAACTTTATATATTGAAAACTTCTACAATTAATTTGTAATTACGACATGTACAAGGAAACTTTTGGGTAAGAGAATCTTTTTAAAAAATATATATTTTTACTGATTTTAGAGTAAAGGAGAGAGAGAGAGAGGCAGAGATAGAAACATTGATCAGCTGCCTCCTACACACCCCCTACTGGGGATTGAGCCCACAACTCAGGCATGTGCCCAGGCCGAATCAAACCAGCAACCTCTTGGTACTTGGGACAACACTCAACCAACTGATCCACACCCGCCAGGGCTAGATAAGAGAATATTAAGAACATTGCTTGGCCCTGGACAGTGTGGCTCAGTTGATTGGGTGTTGTGCACTGAAAGATTGCCTGAAAATTCCTGGTCAGGGCACATGCCCAGGTTATGCAATCCTGGAAAGGGGGTGTGCAGAAGGCAGCCCATCAATGTTGGCCTGTCACAAAGATGTTTCTCTCTCTCTAAAAATTAATGAAAAATCTCTTTTTAAAAATTGTTCAGTGTTGCATTTAAGCCCAAAGTTCACTTATTTAAATCACCTATGACACATTTACAATATTTTTTTAAAACTTAGGAAAATGCCATTATCAATATGGCTTCATTCATTTATACATATACCCTTGCCAAATATTTGTTATACACTTAAGTACAACTGGAGCAATAAGATAACTTGCACAGACGAAAATGAAGACTTTTCTTTTCCTTCACATTAAAATTATAATTGTTTCACACTTACGGTAGGAACTGAAAACATTTTGGAAAATACTATTAATGGTCTTGAGCGCAACAGTTTACTGCATTTTTCTCTCTCTTTACATATTACTAAGTACTCTGAAAAAGAGTTTTAAGTTCTACTTTTCCTCTTGTCTTCAAATAAACTCTTAAGCATATAAACCTGAATGGCTGAAACCACCACCATTACCAGTAAATTAACCATAGACCAGAAATTGACTCTATCAAAGTTGCTTTCTTGAATATTTCTATCACGAGCTTCAAATGCTCTAAGCAGAGTTTGGATATGACCACTTTTGCTTAGTCTGGACTTGATACTGTTGATGGATTCCTGGAGAAAAAGAAAATAATTTTACTATAAAAGAAGGCTAATTTTAAGTTAATTTTAAAATGTGTATCACAGTACCCTCATATATAAGTTTTGTATCTAAACACAATGTTAATTAAGAGACAGATGCTTCTATAAGGTTATGTCATAGTTTTGATACATCTAAATTATTGCTTATAAATAGTTATTTAACAAAGGAGCAAAACTCCTGTGAAATGAAAATACTTTTGAGAGGCATAGTGCCAAGAATTTTACATACATACTTTCTTTCTTAACCCTCACAACCATAAGAGAATGACTAAGTTTAAAAAAACGGATAAAGCCCTGGCCGGTTTGGCACAGCGGTTAGAGCGTCAGCCTGCGGTCCACAGAGACCCGGGTTCGGTTCCCGCTAAGGGCATATACCTTGGCTGCAGTTTGTCCCCGGCCCTGGTTGGGTTGTGTGGGTGGCGGCCACTCGATGTGTCCCTTTCACATCGATGTTTCTCTCTCTTCCTCTCTCTCCTTCCCGCTCTATCTGAGTAAAAAATGGAAAAATGTCCTCGGGTGAGGATAAAAAAAAAAAAAAAAAAAAAAAAAAAAAAAAAAAAAAAAAACGGATAAGTTTTTAGGTATTTATATAATGCATTGTGTGTTAATATTTTTTTTCTTTGAATGCTAGTCTGGTTCAATATAGTATTTAGCAAAACACCCGATGTTTTTATCTCACAAAGAGTGAAATTATAAAATATTTCAACTTTATATGTGCATTCTATACACCCAAAAGTATAACCTATTTTTATTTATTTTTAAATATATATATATATATATTTTTATCCTCACCCGAGGACATTTTTCCATCTATTTTCAGATAGAGTGGGAGGGAAAGAAGGAGGAACAGAAAAGAGAAACATCGATGTGAGAGAGACACATCAGGTGGTTGCCACCTACACGACCCCAGCCGGGGCCAGGGACAAACTACAACCTAGGTATATTTGCCCTTAGTGGGAACCGAACCCGGGACTCTCCAGTCCCCGGGCTAGTGCTATAACCACTGAGCCAAACCAGCCAGGGCTTAAATAAGTATTTATTGATTTTTTTTAAAGAGAGAGAGAGAAACATCGATCAGCTGCCTCCTCCACGTCCCCTACTAGGGATCAAGCCTGAAACCCGGGCATGTGCCCTGACCTCTCAGTTCATGGGATGATGCTCAATCCATTAAGCTACACTGGCCAGGCAGTATAACCTATTTTTAATAAAAACATATTCCAAGATCATATTCATTAAACAAACTTACCAAGATACATTCTAAGTTGCATATCTTATGAAAAAACGACTTTATAGTAGAGTCCTGGTCATAAATCACCTGAAAACTAACTATAGACTATATGAATATAAGGTAAAATTTAGTTGAGATTTTAAATGATGTCAAAGTATTTGTGGCAAAAATAAGAAAATCTAAGAAACAGATTTTCCTGGAGACTCACTTTGTTTAACATCCTCATTTAAACAATAAATATACACAAAATTTCAGATGGCTGTGCTAATCCTGTAAAACTAAAAATACTTATCATACTGGCATATTTGTAAAGAAATACAAATATTTTCCAGAAAAGGAGTTCAGCCTCTCAAAAATGCATGTATAGTTCTTTTCAATAGCATAATGATGACAGTCATATATAAAATTATTTATTCAAGTTTGGTATTGTGATAACAAAATCTGGGGGGAGTAAATGGAAAAAGCTCCTGAAAGACACTTTAGTTTTCTTAAAAAGGGATTTGTAAATATTTTAAGCCATATTTAAATCTGAACTTTCTAGTCATTTTGTTTAACTGTGAATAAAGTCAATCTCTGGAAAATGCAGTGAAGTACTAATAAGATTTATAACTATTCGTATTTTGTTCTTGTTGGCAAAATAAATGTATAATGGAACAATATATTCATATGATTGAGATTTTAAAATAGGGAAGAAGACTAGACTATAGTGTAAGTATTGATAAATATTGATATACATTTCCATTTTAATTGTAAGTCAGTTCCTTATCTAAAATATGGAATGGAGGGGGAAAGAGAGGAGGTTGGAGGTAGACTAATGTCATCTTCTAGTTCTTTTCGTTTTTTTGTGTTTTAATCCTCACCCAAGGACATTTTTGCATTTATCTTCAGATAGATTAGGAGGGAGAGAGGGAGGAAGAGAGAGAGAAACATCGATGAGAGAGACACATTGACTGGTTGCCACCCACACGACCCCAACTGGGGCAGGGACAAACTACAACTGAGGTATGTGCCCTTAGCGGGAACCGAACCTGGGAGTCTCTGGTCCGCAGGCTGACACTCTAACCGCTGAGCCAAACCGGCCAGGGCTCATCTTCTTGTTCTAAAATTCAACTAAGTTTGCCCTGGCCAGTTTGGATCAGCGGTTAGAACATCAGCCTACAGACCAAGGGGTCTAGGGTTCGATTCCCGGTCAAGGGCATGTACCTGGGTTGCGGGTTCTATGCCCAGCCGCAGTGGGAGTCATGCAGGAGGCAGCCAATCAATGTGTCTCTCTCACATTGAAGTTCCTTTGTTTCTCTCTCTCCCTTCCTCCCTCCTTTCCACTCTCTAAAAATCAATGGAAAAATATCCTCAGCTGAGGATTAACAAAAAAATAATTAAGTTTAATACAAATATGAAATCATGTTGAGATCAAAAACTGTCATGCTAAAAATTATGCCAATCAAACTTTTTCTTTTACGTTTGTATTCACAGTAACACCAGTGGAAAAGGTATGAAAACTAACATTTAGTATGTGCCAGACAATGTTTAAAGCACTTATACACATGGTATATCACATTTCATCATCATAACTTGAGAGGTATTGTCCCCATTTTGTAGATTTGAAAACCAAGGCTCAGAGAGCTCAGTCACCAAGGAATTAGACATATGATAGAACCATTTAATATTACAACTTAAGCTAACTGATTTATGTTTCTTCTGCTGTAATATGATTGTTCCTTTCCTAAGAAACCTCAAATAATCAAAATATCACATTATTTAAAAAAAAAAAGTTCACGTGAGAAGAGTATTAGAAGTGTTACAGTTTGAAACTTGTAATAACCATGTTATTTATCCTGCAGGAATTTCTACACTAGAGTTATATACGCTACTTACAAATATCACTGAGTAAATTCTACCCTTTGATTACATCTAGCTGTGGCTGAAAGGTTATGACCTTTCCCTCTATCATTGGCAGTACTATTATTAAATGCAAATAGGTTCTTATACATGTACAGTTCATTAATCATGTTTATAATAAAACGTAAAACAATTCAAGCAAAGAAGCCATGTCATGTTTGTATTCCTGAGTGTACTGCAAGTTTCTGATAACTGCTAGGTCTAGTTTGAGTAATGTAAATAGTGTTCCCAAATTATTCAAATTCCATGTCATAAAAAGTATGATGTAGGCCCTAGTCAGTGTAGCTCAGTTGGTTGCGCCTTATCCCATCACTAAGAGGTCGCCAGTATGATTCCCCATCAGGCACATCGTGTCTGGTTGCAGGCTTGATCCCCCAGTGGGGTGCATGCAGGAGGTAGCTGATCGATGTTTCTCTCTCCTTCTCAAATCAATAAACATGTTTTAAAAAAAAAACCAGCCCTGGCCAGTTTGGCTCAGCAGTTAGAGCGTCGACCTGCGGTCCAGAGAGACCCGGGTTCGGTTCCCGCTAAGGGCATGTACCTTGGTTGCAGTTTGTCCCCGGCCCTGGTTGGTTGTGTGGGTGGCAACCACTCGATGTGTCCCTTTCACATCAATATTTCTCTCTCTCTTTGTTCCTCTCTCTCCCTCCCACTCTACCTGAACAAAAAAATGGAAAAATGTCCTCGGTGAGGATGATAAAAACAACAACAACAACAAAACAACAAAAAATACTAAACAAAACAAAAACTATGATGTGGGAAAAATGCCTGTACATACCAAGTTTTTATAAATTACTCAGTTTTAGTCTATGTGCAAGTATGCTACAGATAATTACCTTTTTCTGTTGGTGAACACTCTAAGGGAGTTTTGTAGTAATGAGCCTGTATTCAAACTCTGGTTCTCCCTCTCTCTGGTTTTCTGACAGAAACATTACCTAATCTCCCTAAGATACAATTTCCTCATTAGAAAGATGGAGATAATCTTGATAAGAGTTAAGTAAGTATTACATGAGATAATACAATTAAGATACTTAGCCCAGTGCCTGTCACATAGGCCTCTGGATGTTAGTAGTTTTTATTATTTTTTTAAAAGACCATACTGGCCCTGGCCGGTTTGGCTCAGCGGTTAGAGCGTCGGCCTGCGGTCCTGAGAGACCCGGTTTGGTTCCCGCTAAAAGACCATACTGACCAGGATGTCTTCCAGTTTCATATCCAACATATCTGTGCCAGTAATATATTTCTTCCAGTCCTCTTGTTCTTGCTCGTGTTCTCCCATATTATCCAGGATTAACTCAAAGAAAATCACCTTCTCAGAAATGGTGCTGAATGTATTATCAAAGCAGAACATGTAGTCACCAACTTCTGTCTCTACCCTGTATTAAAAAGTACATGTCTTCAGTTACCTATACTTAAATTTCGAATCAAAGAAAAAATTACTACAGATAGAAGAAATAACAGTTTATAATAATTGGACAGTTTACTGATAGCCTTCCTTAGTACTTAAAACATAATTTATAATTTTAGGAAAAAGGTTACCTGGAAATATATGTATATAAAAGTACTTGAGCCCTGGCCAGTTTGGCTCAGAAGTTAGAGCATCAGCCTGCGGTCCGGAGAGACCCGGGTTCAGTTCCCGCTAAGGGCATGTACCTCGGATGCAGTTTGTTCCCGGCCCTGGTTGGTCATGTGGGTGGTAGCCACTGGATGTGTCCCTTTCACGTTGATGTTTCTCTCTCTCTCTCTCCCTCCCTCCCTCCCACTCTATCTGAACAAAAAATGTCCTTGGATGAGGATTAAAAAAAACTAGTTTTGTTAAGATCTAATTTTTAAAAAGTAGATTTGTAAATTTGGTGTAGTGATTAAGAGTGAGTTGGACTGCCTGGGTTTTAAATCCTGGCTTCACTATTCACTAGCTGTGTAACCTTCCATCAGCTTACTTAACAGCTCCAGGCGTCCATTTCCTCATTGGTAAAATGATAATATCATGTAACTTACAGGATTGTGGTGAAGAGTAAAATATATGAATACATGTAAAGTGCTTAGAACAGTGTCCTGGCACATCAAAAGAATTGAATAAATGTGGAACCTTACAAACTCAGTTTTGTCTCCCATTGTAAGTTTAATGAGAGGTAATTTTTCATGCATTGAAGCAATAAAATACCATGTCTCCCTATGAATCAATATTAATATGTCACTAAAGAAAAGCAGAAAATTGTAGAGAAATAACTGACAACATTTCTATACATTTTCTATATTATGAAATTTAAAGATGAATTAACTACATTTTTAGTTCTTGTTCACATACCTATCAAACAGAAAATACAGTTAATCCCAAGTATATCAATCTAAACTGACTTTTAAGATGACTATTTCTCTATGTTATATATTAATAGTGTATACAGATATTTTTTCTGAGCTCTACATAAGTAAAATGCCATTTTACAAAGCACTCTAAAATGAATATCTTAAAAAATTATGGTGGAGGCATTTTACTCCTTATTCATTGATACATGTATTCAGTATTTACTGTCAATTACATACCAGGTACTTTGGTTAACAAAGACCAATAATTATAATAATAGTTAGTACTTACATGTGCTATGTGCCAGGGATGTTCTAAGTGTCATATAGTAGAAAGTAAATATTTTGGTCCATCCTGCCTCCGCTTAATAAAATATATCCTGCCCTGGCCAGTTTGGCTCAGTGGTTGAGCATCGGCCTGCGGAGCAGAGAGTCCCAGCTTCGGTTCCCGCTAGGGGCACGTACCACAAAAAAATAAAATAAAATAAAATAAAATAAAATATATCCCTGCAGAATTACTTAACTTCACTGAGTCTCCTTGTCTGTAAAGACTCCTTTCCTGTAAAATGGGAATTAGGGAATCAAAGAATCTATCTCACAGTGAGTTGGAATAATTAATTTAGAAGCATATAAAATGCAAGGCCTAGTTTACGGCAAATATTAGATACTTTGTATTCACTCTTCCTATAAGCTCATAGTTTCGTTTTAACACAACAGAACTGAGGAACGAAGGTGCTAAAGTAAAATAATACAAAGGAACAGGGAAATACCAGTGACCGATGAAAAGAGGGAAATGAGATATAAGAAGGGAATATATGGCCTGTTGTCAAATTTAAACTGGAAGTGTTACAACAAGTATTTTATTTTTATAGGTTTTCTATGGTCAGATATTTTACTTTTGGATCTTCTAATGGTCTAAAAATAGTGAGGTCTGAGTAAAAAAATTTACATACACACACAAATGTATTTTACTGTTGTTTTAAGGAAGAAAAGATTGGGCTAGCACCTTTAGGATACACACCCGGAAGAGTAACTTAGAGTTAAAATGGAAAGCCTGCGCTAGCCAGAAAGGCGGGTTCAAAATGCCTCAATAGATTGAATATAATACCTAGGGAATACTCAACTATTTAAACAAAAGAAGGAAAACATTTAGTCAGGATCAATACAGAATGCCTAAACAAAAAGAAAAAGGTTAATGGAGAATATTCTAGTTTTTAAGACAGACCGTTATCAAGGACTGTTTAAAATGTTCATATGGCCCTGGCTGGCTTGGCACAACAGCTATAGCATCGGCCTGTGGGCCAAAGGGTCTCAGGTTTGATTCCCCATCAAAGGCACGTACCTGGGTTGCAGGTTCGATCCCTGGCCCTGGTCGGGGCCGTGCGGGAGGCAGCCAGTTGAAGTGTCTCTGTCACACAGATATTTTTTCATCTCTCTTCTCCTCCCTCCCTTGCACTCTGTCTAAGAAGCAATGGAAAACTATCCTTGGATAAGGAAAAAAAAAAGTTAAAATGTTCATGTGGAGTTCTGGCCAGTATGGCTCAGTTGGTTGGAGTATATTCCATATACCAAAGGGTCATGGCACATATCTAGGTTGTGGGTTTGATCCCTGGTAGGGGCGCACACAGGAAGGCAGCTGATCTCTCCCCGCCCCCTTCCCCTCTCTCTCAAATCAATAAGCATAGGATTAAAAACAAACAAATAATAAAATGTCCCCATGGAATTATTCAATATTAATATTTAGGCCCTGGCCGGTTTGGCTCAGTGGTTAGAGCATCGACCCGTGGACCAAAGAGTCTTGGGTTCAATTCCAGCCAAAGGCATGTACCTCGGTTGTGGTACGTCCCTGGCCCCAGTTGGGGTCGTGCCGGTGGCAGCCAGTCAATGTGTCCCTCTCATATAGATGTTTCTCTCTCCCTCCCACTCTGTCTGAAGATACATGTAAGCATATCCTTGAGTGAGGATTGAAAAAAATATTAATATTTAGTATCAAATGTGCTAAATTTCCTGTATTATTCAGTCCAAGGAATCAACTCAGAGATTACTTACGTGTGAACTCCATCTGATTTTCTTTGTTCAAAAACTAAGACTCTTCCTTCTGGAGAAACAAGATGGAAGTCAATATCTAACCCTGCTCCATCTAAAACCTGTTGAATATAGAAGAGAAGAACACATATTACAAATTCTGAAAATAAATTATGTAAAGTAGATTATATGATGAAAAGATTTTCTTCTGCCCTGGCCGGTTTGGCCCAGCAGTTAGAGTATTGGTCCTCGACCAGAGTCTCAAGTTCTATTCTGGTCAAGGGCATGTACCTCAGTCACAGTTTGGTCCCTGGCCCTGGTTGGGATCGTGCAGGAGGCAACCAATCAATGTCTCTCTCTCACACCATTGTCTGTCTCTCTCTCTCTCTCTCTCTCTCTCTCCCTCCCTCCCTCCCTCCCTTCCACTCTCTGAAAATAAAAATGGAATAATATTCTCGGGTGAGGTTAAAAAAAGATTTTCTTTATAGACCTAGAGGGGTAAGAAGGTCAGTGGACCTCATTATGGCTAAAAAGGAGCAGAAAGATTATCTAGTTCAATTCCATTCATTTTTGGAACCAGTCCCTTTCTTACCAAGTCCTGTTGTCTAGCACAAAAATTTAGACCGCCTAAGTATTACTGAAATAATCTTCCTAAAAACAGTACATTCATTGAGAAGCCTTGTGGAGTAAAAAGAAACACAGAAGGGAGTTCAAATTATGGACTTTTTACTTAGGCAAGTTAGGGTATGCTATATAACTTTGAGTTTGTTTTCTCTTCAATAAAATAAGAATAAGAATTAGCTACTTCTTAGCCTAGAACTCAAGACCTCCATGATCTGACTGTAACTGACTTCTTCAACCCAATCATTTATTATTCCCCAACATGACCAGTATATTCAAGGTAGGCTGTTTTACTTACTGGCCAGTGAACACAATCTGTCCTTTACAATCCCAAAATGTCCTGCTGCTGCTGCTAAGAGAACACCTCACAATTACAGTTTATGCCACACAATGTCTTTTAAGTGTTTTCTATGGATTAATGTATTCCTCACAACATCTCTAAAACATTGGTCCTATTATTCTCATTTTAATAAAAAAAAAAACACAGAGGCACAGAAAAATAATTTTCCCAAGATGATATAGCAAATAAAGAGGGTCATGGCCAAAAAATACAAACTCAGTAATCTCCTTCTAATGACTACGCTTTTGCTTGTTGTAAGACTCCATTTTAGTCCTGGCCAGTTTCGCTCAGTGGTTAGAGCATCGGCCCATGGACCAAAGGATCACGAGTTCAATTCCAGTCAAGGGAATGTACCTCGGTTACAGTTTGATCCCCAACCCTGGTTGGGGTCATGAGGGAGGCAACCAATCGCTGTCTCTCTCTCACATCGATGTTTGTTTGTTTCTCTCTTTCTCTCTTCCTCTTACTCTATCTGAAAATCAATGGAAAAGTGTCCTCAGCTGTGCAGAAGCTTTATAGTTTGATCTAGTCCCATGTGTTCATTTTTTCTTTGTTTCTGTTGCCTTAGGTGATGTATCAGTGAAAATTCTGCTCCGTATGATGTCCGAAAAAAAATTTTTTTTCCATTTTTTGTTCAGACAGAGTGGTAGGGAGAGAGAGGAAGAGAGAGAGAGAAACATCGACGTAAAAGAGACACATCGAGTGGCTGCCACCCGCACGACGAACCAGGGCCGGGAACAAACTGCAACCGAGGTATGTGCCCCTAGCGGGAACCGAACCCGGGTCTCTCTGGACCGCAGGCCAACGCTCTAACCGCTGAGCCAAACCGGCCAGGGCTGATGTCCGAAATTTTGTTGCCTACATTTTCTTCTAGAATTTTTATGGATTCATGGGTCACATTTAAGTCTTTTATCCATTTTGAGTTTATTTTTGTGTATGGTGTAAGTTGATGGTCTAGTTTCATTTTTTTGCATGTAGCTGTCCAATTTTGCCAACACCATTTATTAAAGAGGCTGTCTTTACTCCACTGTATGCTCTTGCCACCTCTGTCAAATATTAATTGAGCATATTGCCTTGGGTCCATTTCTGGGTTTTCATTTCTGTTCCACTGGTCTATATGCCTGTTCTTGTGCCAGTACCAGGCTGTTTTGATTACAGTCGCTTTGTAGTATAACCTGATATCTAGTATTGTGATCCCACCTACTTTGTCCTTCTTTTTCAAAATTGCTGTGGCTATTCGGGGACTTTTTTGGTTCTATATGAACTCAAAAGCTTCTGCACAGCAAAAGAAACAATCATCAAAATGGAAAGGCAACCCACTGTATGGGAGAACATCATTGCCAATGATATATCAGATAAGGGGTTAATTTCCAATATATAGAGAGTGCTCATACAACTCAACAAAAGGAAGACAAAGAACCCAATTAAAAAATGAGCAGAGGAGCTGAATAGACACCTCTCCAAACAGGACATACAAATGGCCAAGAGACATATGAAGAAATGCTCAACATCACTAATCATCAGAGAGATGCAAATTAAAACAACAATGAAGTATCACCTCACACCTGTCAGAATGGCCGCCATCAACAAATCATCAAAAAACAAGTGTTGGCGAGGGTGTGGAGAAAAGGGGACTCTAGCACACTGCTGGTGGGAATGCAGACTGGTGCAGCCACTATGGAAAACAATATGGTGTTACCTCAAAAAATTAAAAATTGAACTTCCATTTGACCCAGTGATCCCGCTTCTAGGAATATACCCTAAGAAGCCTGAAACACCAATCAGGAAGAATATATGTACCCCCATGTTCACAGCAGCACTATTTATAATAGCTAAGATCTGGAAACAGCCCAAGTGTCCACCAGTAGACGAATGGATAAAAAAGCAGTGGTACGTATACACAATGGAGTACTATGCAGCTGTGAGAAAGAAAGATCTCTTATCCTTTGAGACGACATGGAGGGACCTGGAAAGTATTATCCTAAGTGAAAGAAGCCAAGCAGAAAAAGACAAATACCACATGATCTCACTTATTTGTGGAATATAATGAACATAACAGTCTGAGGAATACGGTAGACCCAGAAACATGGAAGTAGGGCACAAATTGACATCCCTCAGAAGAGAGGGGAGGGGAGAGATAAACCACAGAACATATATGCATGTATGCATAACCAATGGACATGGACAACAAAGCCGGGAACGGGGGGGATGGAGAGGGGGGTGCCAATGGGGTAAAAAAGGAGAAACATCTGTAACAAAAAAAAAAATTATAAAAAAAAAAAGTGTCCTCAGGTGAGGATTAAAAAAAAACAACTCGGCCCTGGCCAGTTAGGCTCAGCGGTTGGAGCATCGGCCTGCGGACCAGAGAGTCCAGGGTTCAGTTCCCGGCTGGGCCCTAGCAGCGAGGGGTACGTACCAAAAAAAAAAAAAAGACTCCATTTTATTTTTCTTAGTGGCTTTAATGGCATAATATAAAAGATTACCTACTCCTGTGTACTACTTACTGATCAAAAGAACTGGTTTCAAATGTTTAGTTAAATATATATAATTACTTTTCTTCTTTTAATCCCAATGAAATGAAGAAAACAAAACAAATAATCCATAAAAACATGAAGTCTAGGAAACCTGTTATCAGACTTGAAGACGAAGGAATTTCTGGAAGATATTCCACTGAGCAAAGGCTATATCTAGTTACCAATATCTACCAGTCTCAAAACTCTCAATCAAACAAGTGTAATGTTAGTAGAATGAACATGGATGGAGACTAAAAATCAGAGACCTAGAAGAAGCCAAGGGATTCTTAGAACAAGGTGAAAAAGTATAGATGAAGTGTACGAGGAAAATGGTAAGACCCTTCATGAAGGACAGAGCGAAAGATTTAAAATCTATCTAATAAGCATTTTTAAAGAGAACCAAGAGAAATGAAAGGAGGAAATCATCAATATGAGAATAAAAATTCCTGCTTCAAAAGATAAAATTCATTATACTGAAAGGGTTTAATAGATAGGAAAGAATATAAATGAAAAAAGATCCAAAAATCCTACTGACTTTTCCAAAGGATTTAAAAAGAAAAATCTAGAAACTTCTAAGACTAGTAGTAGAGAATTGCAAAATAATAAGAATTGGAATTGGCATCAGAATTCTTACATGTAAGATGCAAAAAAACACAATGGAGCCATGTCTTCAATGTTCCTAAGTAAAAAAATTATAGTATTTACTGAAGTGAAAGCAAAAAGTAAAGCCATTTTCAGATATCCAAGGACTCAAAATATTGTAAAAGAATTACTCAAGTTAATCCAAAAAAAAGATATCCATTAAATCAGAAAATGAGCCATAATAAAACTAAGCAGATTTCAGTAAAACAAAGTTTAAAAGGTATTTTTGGTAGTGGCTATCAGACTTAGTGAAATTGTTAAAAATGGTATTGAAGAATACAGAAGCTAACTTAAAAATATATAAAATATATATTTAAAATATAAATTATTTATTTTAAAAGTACCATAGTCCAAAACTAAACTCCCCAATGATTTCAATGGAACGTGATGGGCAGGCAAGTGCCACTTTCCCGTCTGCGTGCTATGGTAATAGTAGTCTTCTGTATTATTCCTCAACACTGTCACATGCTGTTCTGTTTACCCAGCACCTTGTTCCTTTCACCCCCTTATGCCGAGTAAGCCTGATCCTTTTACAGATCTGAACTCCATTTCCTCTGGGATGTCTTCTCTCAATTCCCAGATGAAATCAAGTCCTTCCTTTAAATACTTCACAGCTGTATGCATTTACTTTCATAGCACTTCTAAGAATTACAATTTTACATTTATTTGTGTAATAATTTGATCAATGTCTGTCCCCATACAAGACTATAAGGGCGAGGACTAAATTTTTACTCACTGTTGCATTCACAGCACCTAGCATAGTGCCTATACAAATTAAGCACTAAATAAAGATTTACTTTTTTGAATGAAGGAACTATTTTATTCATAAGATATATGTAGGGACATTCAAATTTTTGAGAACAATATAATGTAGGGCTCATCAATTATCCTAAAAGTGTTCTCCTAAACCAGAAAAGAAATGGTTACAAATTTTCAATTTGTCACAGTAACCCAAGGGGCAGTGTCTGGAATGTCAGTTCCCTGAAATTTTAAAACCAGACAAAAACCAGTAGCTTATTCTTATTGGAAAATTAGTCATGGAATAGGAAAATGCAAACAAAGGGCTGAAGATGATCTCTACCATACACCCCACTCCTACATTGTCTAAGATTATAGATATTAAATGATTTTACTTGTCTCAAAGAAAACAAATTGTTTAGGGAGAAGGAATGCTTTGGGGGAACAGTTCCTTTAAGAGTGACTAAATATACAAAGTATAAAGCTAAACCAAGCCAGCTATATATAGCACTAGATATAAATGTAAAAAAAAAATTAACACTCATTTATCATTTACTGTGCGTCAAGGATGGTCTATGAACACTTGTTAACTCATTTTTTTCAAATCTATGAGGTAATTACTATTATCTCTAGTTTACAAGACTGAGGTTAAGTAACTTGTCCAAAATCACACAGGTAGTGATTGAGAGGATTTTATCTATAGAGCTAGAGCTCTTAACCATAAGAGGTCAGTAGTTAAAATAGATTCCCTCCCTAAGAGCTAGGTAAATACTGAGGAATTTTTTAATACAAATTGTTTTCTTACCTGGACCATTTCACAGATTTCCTTGTCTCTAATTTTGACCTCCTTAAACCCATCTTCCACACTACCCAGTGATCTGTCCGAAAAACATTTTTGACTGTTACCATGCTGCTTAAATCTTCAAAGGTTCTTGCACAGATTAAGGGCACAGCTACTTAATATGGTGTACAAGGCTAAGAACATGATCCATGATAAAGCCTCCTGATCTCTCTAATCTTTTTCTTTTATTCCCACTCTAGACTTTCTAGACTTAAAGTCTAATAAAAACTCAGTACTTGTAACATCCACTACATACTGGCCACATCCAAAACACTCCCACTGTGCATTTTCAGAACCATGTATTCCTTTTGTTGCTTTTCCTAAAATGTTCCCCCTTCCTTGCATTCTTGTTTCACTTAAGCAACCTTTCTAGATTCAAATTTATTTTCTCCAGGAATCTTTTTCTGAAACCCCAGATAAATGGCCCTCCTCTATTCACACTTAACCATACTTTATTGAAATTACCTGTTTATGAGCCAGTACCCTCCCCCCCTTAAATATTTCAAGTACTCCTCGAAAACGGACTCATACTGATAAATGGTAACTGTTCAGTAAGTGAACTTTTGAACTAGACTGAAACTTAAAAAATGTTGAGGTCTGAATTCGGTTTTGCTAACTATGTGACTTTAGATCCTTTACTCTCAATGCTTACCTTATACATCTATAAATAATCTAATTCTAAAGTCCCTTTGGATGAAAATTCTTCATAACCCTTTATTTTGCTCTATATGTGACAGTACATTACTGAAAAGATTCCCAATATCAACTTAATGACATCTGGTTATAAATTAACTTGTAAAAAAATTAAAATATGAACCACACCAACGCATCTTTTTTTTGCAGTGCTACCTAGAGACGTGCAAATTAGCTGTGCAGAACTAACCAGATGTCTTCTAGGAAATTACCCTCCACCAGAAGGCAATTCCCTATATAATATTATGCAGATAGTAAAAAAAAAAACCTATGATACGGGTGAAAAGATTACAATGCTGAATAAGAAGTTATAACATTTAATATACAATTATATCTTATTTGATTAAAAAATATGTAACTGATAAGGAATGTTCCAAAATTGGATTTAATAATTAGCACATGGTCACAATTCAAAGATCCTTAACTTAAGACATAAATAATACTGAGGTTGAGTGAGGGTGGTGTCGTGAATAAAGCAAATGTCATCATCCCGTCCAATGATAAAGGAGAACGTGTATCAGTCCAATATTGTGAAATTCTCAGTATTGGAGTATGTACCGGCTACCAAAGCGATGGGCGAATTATGAAACAGAGAAAAACCAACGACATCAGCAGTGCTGGCTTCTCTCCGACGGGAGGAAAGGGGAAAATGCAGACAGTCAACTCCAGGTCCCGCCTAACTTCTCGGTTCCCGGCCCCACCGAAAGCCCAGGCTCGCGCGCCTGCGCGGAGGTGGCCGGCTTCCCCGGCGGCCCTCGCCTCTCCCCACCCGGCGGTCCACAAGAAGTTTCTAAGCGGGTGAGAGGCGACGACGCGATGCAGCTGGGCTAAAGGAAGAAGGCTGGCTCACCCTCCGCACTTACTTGGTACTCGATCTCCAGCGAGGCCTTCAGGGGCATGGGCTGGTAGAAACACTCCTTCCGGCCGGGCGGGAGGGTAAACGTGAAGTCGCTGTCCAAGGAGTGCGTGAAGCCGGCCACCCCCGGCAGCAGCACGTGGGGCAGAGCAGCCAGGAGGAGCACCGGGAAGGGCAGCCAGGTCTTGTCGCCCATCCCTGTCGGGGCGATCTGGGGCTGGAAAAAGCGTGGGAGGTGTGCGTCACGGGCACGTAGGCTTCGCTTTTTCTCCCTGGACTCCTCGTGGTTGGCAGGGAAACCTGGAGGCTGCGGAAACTCCAGGTGGCGGCCGCGGCGGCGGCGGCAAACACTCCCACCGAGAGGCAAGCGCCAGCCTCCAGAGGGTAGGAACTGAGGGCGGGGCCAGCGTCCCTTTCCGCACCCTCCTGAGTCTCCGCTCCCTCAAGCTCGGCTTGAGCACCGCCTGCCTCCCACGCTGACGCCGACGACCGCAGGTTCCCATGGCTTCCCCCACACCAATGAGCGCATTGCGGGTAGTTGTGGGAAATGTAGTTCCGAGCGGACGGCTCCGGACGCGCGCTCAGACCACGATCTCCGACAGGCCCCACACCTGCTACGTTGCCCCGCACCAGCTGTGCGCTGGTGGCGGTGAGTGGGGTGCAGCGGGGGGGGGGGGGCTGGGGGCGGTGCCGCGGCCGGGGAGGTGCGTCCCCAACGGTTCCCGCGGCCGTTCGAACTCTTCTCAGCCGGGGTTCTCCGTTTCCCTGCGTGTTGTGTCTGCTGGTTCCACTCCCAGGGCCCGCGAGAGGGTCGAGGCTTCCGAACGCAGACGGGAGCGCGGCGGGCTCTGTCGTCGGGTGAGTCTCTCTGCCAAGTACGAGTTGGGCGGTGAGCGACGGCTTCTCGGAGGGCGGAAACAGGCCGGCCCGGGGGAGTTTGGTCCCTTTCCCTCCCGGCAACCTCAGACGCGCTCTGTTTAGTCTTCGCCGGTGCTGCGCACGCTCCCCTGCCGGGTTATATTTTGTTTGAAAAATGTAGAGGAAGATGTCATATTTGCCCCATTCTTGCAGATGAATGTAGGATAAGTTCTGTCCAACTGAGCGTTCTTGATAACAAGAATCTTTTCCGGCTGCAGCCCATCGTATTACTTACGGGGGTATAAAGAGCGCGTGTTCGTTGCAATGGGTGTGCTTGTGAACAGCTACAAACGCATTGTTATTAGAGCCTAAAGATGACGTCAGGGCCTGGAGGTCGCCTGTGCTTTTCCACCGGTGTGCAGGCAACGAAGATAGATTTTTTATGACTCCTGAAGGGAGGAGGGGGGTCTTTATTTGACAAAAATGGCCCACTAGGAAATAGAAAATATTTGAATATCAAATAAATGTATTCACTGATACTCCAGAAAGGTTAGAGAATTCTTACATTAAAATTCGCGGAAGATGTTGGACATAAGACCAGATTTAGTTGAACCATGATATCGAATGGCATTTTAGAATTTGCTCAAAATTTCTTTACTCTTTTTTTCTTCACCATCCTGTAGGAAGCTAGAAATGTTGAAAAGATAAAGCAGAATGGGGACCTGATACATAGACTTTTGTCTGGGAGAGTCTTCTTAATACTTAAGCAGAAGCAAATGTGTGGAAACAAAAGGGGAAGGATAGAAACATTTCCCCTTAAGATTACATGGTATCTCATTATCTCATTTAATTTCCTGCCATAGTTTCTTCCAATAAGGTGAGAGTTTTCTTTTTAATCTTTTTCCTTACATATGAAAAATTTTGAGTATGGAGTAAATTTGTCATAATATTTTACTAAATGAGGGAAAGGAAGAGCAGTTTAGTAGCAATTCACTGAAAATACTGAGCATAATCCACAAGACTCCTAGTCATTTGGAGCTTGAGTTGTGGTCAGAATTCTAGAAGGGGGATGAAAGAGAAATGCTACAATGATAAAGGTAAATGGGCTCTGTAAGAGGAATGTTATTTTTACATGCAGAAAGAGATACAAGTAGTAGAAATTATAAAGTTTTCATTTAATTATATTATGAATAATATCTATTTTAATATGTAATAATTATATGTAATAATTATTAATAATAAAATGTGGCCCTTTATCACGATTTATATGTGCAAAGATATTTAGTAGAGAATTTTACTACCCTAGAGATACACTTAAGTTGAAGAAACAAATGCTTTTCTTCATATATTTCTATGAGTTAACCTGACAAAGGTCATTTTTATCTCTTTGGTTGTGATGTAAATGTTCGTGCTTTTAAAAAATTTTTTATATTTTTATCCTCACCCAAGAACATTTTTGTATTTATCTTCAGATAGAGCAGGAGGGAGAGAGGGAGGAAGAGCGAGAGAGAGAAACATCAACATGAGAGAGATACATGGACTGGCCACCACCCACACAACCCCAACCAGGGTGGGGTACAAACCTCAACCCAGGTAGTGTCCTTAGCGGGAACCCAATCCGGGCCTCTCTGGACTGCGGACCGATGCTCCAACCGCTGAGCCAAACCGGCCAGGGCTGTTCATGCATTTTGAATGGGATAAGGGGATAATCTTTATCTGATAATAAGTTGCCTTTAAGTATATATGAATGATTGTAATGATGCCAATTTTATCAGCTGTCCAGAGCTTGTAATGTGATATGTAAGTTCAAACACCTCATATTGAAATTGATCTATAATACTAAAATTGCAGTGTGACAGTTAAAAGGTCTTTGGATCCTGAGGGCTTAGGTTCAAATTTTGGTTCCACCATTTACAGTTTGTGTGACCTTGAGTGTATTATTTAATTTGTCTTATTATTATTTTCTTCATCTTAACATGGAATAAAAAAACTTAGTTCACACAATTGTTTGAAAGATTAAATGTGATTAGAAAAGGGAAACTATAATACCTATACCTTGGCTATAATGAGAAATTGACTCTGAAATTCTATAGAACTTCTGTTATGGCTTTACACTGCAGAGAAATTAACTTGGTTTTTTGTTTTGGTTTGTTCTAAATTACTATGCAAATTTTCACAATATTTGAAATAGAAAAATAATGATTTAAACTCTGTTAGTGTGAGAGTATTTTGACTGACATTACAGATTCTTTCCAGCAAGGTACAAGAAATTCATTTCTTTTTTTAAGAAATGGAATCTAAGTCATCAAACTACTATAAAAAAGACAATGAAGAAGAAAGTTTGCTTGCAAATGTTGCTTCCTTAAGACATGAACTGAAGATAACAGAATGGAGTTTACAGAATTTAGGGGAAGAATTATCCAGGTATGTAAGTAAAATCACATATAGAATTCAGAGTATGACTGATTTATGAATGTAAAGTGTATGAATTTCATTATTATTGTGTTTCTGATATGTCTCTAGAATAGGAAATGTAATTTTGAATATAACTCAGTTTAGGATGGAAATAGTAGGGAATCGTTTACATATTTCAAAAACACCTTATATATATATTAGGACTCTGTATGAAGTATATATTGTGGGCTTTATTCATCTATTATTATTACTGCTTTTTGGAACTTAAGTAATTCTTTCATAGAAGCTCTAGAAATACATAGACTGTTAGTTTAAAATTAATTATGGTTTACTTAAAAATTTGGTTGAGCCATGGCCAGTTTGGCTCAGCCCACGGACCAAAGGTTCTCAGGTTTGATTGCCTGGCCTCTATCAGGGCACGTGTAGGAGGTGACCAATCAATGTATCTCTCAAGTCGATCTCTCTCTCTCTCCTTCCCTTCCACTCTATCTAAAAATCAATGGAAAAATATTCTCAGGTGAGGATTAACAAACAAACAAACAAACAAAAAAATAAATCAATAAAAATGCAAGAAATTGTTATTAAAAATAAATAAGTAAATAATAAAAATTTAGTTAAAGCATTACTTTAAGCATGAATCCAATTTTCAGCAGCATTTCAGGTGCTTATTTAATATATAGAAATTTGGCATGAGTACTTAAACTAAGAACTAAAATGTATTTTTTTTTCTTTTTTTCTTTAGTGTTAGTCCAAGTGAAAATTCTGATTATGCCTTAAATCCCTCAAGGACCGAAAGACTGATTTTGGAAGATCTTTCTCAACCTACCCAGCTTGGACTTTTGAATTACTCACCTTATAAGAAAATTTGTAGAATGTCCAGTGGTAGTACTGATTTTCAAAAACAGCCAAGAGATAAGGTTATTGTCTTTAGACCTCTTACTGAAAAGTGGTTTAGTTTTTGACCTACTTAAAATACTTTTTTCTTTAAATGCCTTATACATGTTTTCCATAGTCTTTTACTACGGTACTCAAGACTTGTTCAATTTAACTATAATGGTTCTTGTTTTGTCCTAAGAAGAAAGTAGTTAATTTGGTGTATCATTTTATTTTAAAATTTCTATAATTATTGCCTTATGCAGTTAAATGTATTGTTTTCTCAAATAAATTATAACCTCCTTGATTTTATTTAGCACTATACCATGTACATAATAGGCAACCAATTATTTATTAAGTGGTTAAAGTGTACTTACTATTTAACCTGGGTCAGGGTACTTACTATGTGATAGCATGGTATTATTCCCTTTGTACTACCCCTTAATTTTGTTGATGATCTTAGATATCTTCCCTGGTCTGGAATTTTCTCTCCCTTTTTTTTTATTCAGTCATATCATCTATCTCCTGGTGTTTACCCCTCTTTCTTACTCAACACTTTTATCACCCTTTTAGCTCCCTTTCCACTCTTCTTCTGGTTCTCTATTACCCTACTGTGAATATATACATATGGTTACATATGCATATTATATTTTTTTTATAAAAATTTACTCTTACCACTTAAGAAAACTGACAATTGAGAGGGGTTTTTTTTGGTAAGGAAGCTGCTTAATAAAGCTATATGACTGAGCCTACATTTTGGAAAATGAATTAAAATTCCATGTCTACAAAGATTATGTCATTCTGGAATATTTGTTTGTTTTTTTAACCTTTTTTTTTTTTTTCTCTTTATTGATTTTAGAGAGAAAGGGAGAGGGAGAGAGAGAGAAACATCAATGAGAGAGAACGTCGGCCCGCTGTCTCTGACATGCCCCCTACTGGGGATCAGGCCCACAACCTGGGCATGTGCCCTGACTAGGAATCGAACCAGCGACCTCTTGGTGCATGGGTCAATGCTCAACCACTGAGCCACACCGGCTGGGTCATTCTGGAATATTTTATCTCTATACTAATTCAAATAGCTGATTAATTTTTTCATCATATTTATGTGTTAGTTGAAATCACTGTGTTTTATCCTAAGTAAAATCAAAAGACAAATGACAAATTGGAGGGGGTAAAATATTGATAATGCCTATTAAAGACAAAGGGCTAATCTCTTTATTATGTAAAGAGCTCCTAAGAAGAAAAGATCAACAACC